CAAAAAAAAAAAAAAAAAAAAGTGCAATGGAAATTAGAAAATATTTAGACTCTAAGTGATTGCACTAATTTACTTTCCTACTAGCAGCATACAAGAGTTCTAGTTGCTTCATATTCTTGCAAATACTTAATTTTGTTTTAATTTTATTTTTAAGACTGAGTCTTACTATGTCACCCTTGGTAGAGTGCCATGGCATCATAGTTCACAGCAACCTCAAACTGTTGGGCTTAAGCGATTCTTTTACCTCAGCCTCCCGAATACCCAAGTAACTGAGACTATAGGCACCCACCACAATGCCTGGCTATTTTTTGGTCATAGTTGTCACTGTGGTTTGGCAGGCCCAGGCTGGGTTTGAACCTGCCAGCTTCGGTGTATGTGGCTGGCACCCTAGCCACTAAGCTGGGCCCCATTTACCGAGGGTGTTGGGTTTGAACCTGGCCCTGGCTAAACCGCAACAAAAAGTAGCCGGGCGTTTGTTTAGTTCCGTTTTTTTAGCCCCAGCTACTCAGGAGGCTGAGGCAAAAGACTCGCCCAAGCCCAAGAGCTGGAGGTTGCTGTGAGCTGTGATGCCACTGTACTCTACTGAGGGCAACAGAGCGAGACTCTGTCTCTGAAAAAAAAAATTGGGGCGACGCCTGTGGCTCAAGGAGTAGGGCACTGGCCCCATATGCCAGAGTTGGCGGGTTCAAACCCAGCCCTGGCCAAAAAAACAAACAAACAAACAAAAAACCCTGCAACAACAACAACAAAAAAATTAAAAAAAAAATGCTACAGGGCGGCACCTGTGGCTCAAAGGAGCAGGGCGCCTGCCACATATGCTGGAGGTGGTGGGTTCAAACCCAGCCTCGGCTAAAAAAATAAAAAAACCAAAAACCTACATATCAAAACTTGTGAGCTCCTGCAGAAACAGTATTTGGCGAAAAAGGTATAGCCTTAAATAGAGTAAAAATAAAAAGGAGGAAAATTAATGAAATAGACATCTATTTCAAGAAGTTAGAAAATAAACAAACTAAAACCAAGGAAAGCAGAAGGAAAAATAATAGAGCCGAACTTAACAAAACAGAAAATTTACTATGGAGAATACCAATAAAGATAAAAGCTGGTGAAAAAAAGGAGAATGCATGAAAATGAAATCCTAATAAAAACGGAGATATCTCTACAGATGAGAGTGGATAGTAAAATGATAATGAGAGCCACGGTGGCTCACGTCTGTAATCCTAGCACTTTGAGAGGCTAAGGCAGGAGGATCACTTGAGGTCAGGAGTTCAAGACCAGCCTGAGCAAGACCCAAGACCCTGTCCCTACCAACAGAGAAAAATGAGCTGGATGCCTATAGTCCTAGCTACATAGGAGGCCGAGGCATGAGGATGGTTTGAACCCAGGAGTTGTAGTTAGCTATTATGATGCCACTGCATCCAAAGCATACTACCTGCAGTGACAAGAGTGAAACTGTCTCAAAAAAAAAAATAAAATAAGTGGACAATGAAAATATTGTAAACAACTTTATATAAATATGAAAACTTAAGAAAGGACAATTTTAAGAAAAATATGCCTTACCAAAACTAAGTTAAAAAGAAATTTAAAAATAAATAAATAGTCCTAAAGCCATTAAAGACATATAATCTGTGGTCAAAAATAACATCACAAAAGAAAGCAAACCTCCAAACAAAAGGGGCTCCATCACTGAGTTCTATCAAACATTCAAGAGATAAAGTAGGGGAAACTAAAATGGAGAATGAGCTAGGTGTGGCACTCCTGTGGTCCCAGCTACTTGGGAGGCTGAAGCAGGGGGATCTCTGGAGCCCAGGAATTTGAGACTAGCCTGTTGAAACACAACAACATAGTGAGATCCCATCTCTTTGGGAAAAAAAAATGGATAGCAGAGGATGAACAAAACAGGTTATTAATTAGACTTCTGGACCAACTGTAGCAGCAGTATTACAGTTCATCCCATTAACATTCCTCTTTAGAGTTTTCCCAGAAATTGTGACTAACCAGAATCCTGCAGAAGCTGTTCCTGGAGAGAGTGAACTTGACATATAAGCAGCAAGTGTATCTGAACAGTGCCAAGAGATGGACTGCAGAGAATCCTACTGGTGTTTCATCCAGATGCTCTCTACTGGCTGGCACACCCATACCCTAGATGTGTCAGCTGGTAACAACTCACAGATGTCCCTTTCTCAAGAGAACTGCCACCTAACTAGACTGTTCCCCTCCACTCTCCAACCTCCTTCCTTCACTTTCCTCTTCCTGAGCACTTTTCCCAATATATCACTTGAATGGGAATCCTCAATTCAGGTCCTGTTATTCAGGCGCTATTTCAAAATAGGATCTAAGATACAACCATTTAAGAGGGTGAAAAGAAAGCCAAAGAGAACAAAATATTCTTCTTTTTTTTTTTT